CAAAAGGTGACATACATATTTAGAAACAAAAACCAGAGAACAACCAAACAAACCTCCTCAAGATGGCAACAAAATCCCCATCAGGCCCCACAAGCGCCACGTCACCGCCATCACCCCCAATCCTCTCCTTCTCCTCATCCCCAATCGCAAGCACAATAGGCAACGACATATTAACGAAGGACCCATCTCCCATCCTCAGGCAATTAAAATGCAAGCACTGCAAATACTCCTCCTCCCTCATAAACCCCTTCAAAGGACTCGCCCACCCCTCGCTCACCACGTGGATCCACTCCAGATCCACCCTCGTCATCCTCACCGCCGGCATCGCCGCCGCCTCTGCCCTCTTCGCCGCCTTCTCCGCCTCCGGAACAACTAGATCCACTATGGTTCCGCCGTCGGGATCGATTAGGGAGCTCTTTACGGTCAAAGGCACCGCCTTTGAGCTCATTTTGAGGTGGGTTTTTGACAGTGAGATGGCTAATGGGTTAAAGATTGAATTTTTAGAGAATGCAAGGGCGTGGGGTTTTCTGAGAGGGTGATGGTGATGAGAGTGGGATGGGAGAGAAAGGGGTTGGGGGTTGGGGAGAGAGAGTGAAGAAGAAGCCATTGAGATTTGGGGTGCTTTCTCTCTCTTATTGCCGTTGGGCTCCGAACACGGGGGTATTTTTGTAGCATAGAATTTAATTATTTATCTGTTTATTTTGTTTTGGTTTTTCTAAATGAGAGAGAGAGAGAGAGAGAAGAATGAGGGCCGCAAGTTTGGGCTTTGGATTTGCATGGGTTGGATTTGTTAGGGGATTTGGGCCGTTGGATTTCGTTTGGGGTGGATTAAGGTGGGCCCCATTTTGTTCGTTATATCTGGAGTGAGATCCCGAACTTAAATAAGTTTGCAGGTGACATTAATTTATCTCTGTTACGGGTTATTTGATATCACGTGAAGATGCACGTGTAACTTACGAAAGAGATTTACGAAAGAGCCTTGGGCGTATGCAAGCGACTGCATGACTACGAAGATAAGCATATAATCCCTACTTTAATTTCAGCCAAAGCTTTTTTGATTTCAACTAATGCTACTTTTAGGGGTGACCATAGTTCGATGCAAACTGATTAAACTTCGGTCTAGTTGGGTTCTAGGATATTTAAATCCGAAATGAACGAACCAACCGTTCTCAACATAATTACGTCAAACTTATGCTCGTTCATGATGAATAGATATTTTATACTAATATATCTACTGTCAGGCGCCCAACCTTTTTGACCCAGCCAACATGAAAACAAAAGTGGGGCCCACAAAGACGGGCCCCACAAAAAGAAAAATCAAATTCGGTGGCAGCCATTGTTGAGAATTTATAAAGGATGTGGGTCCCACACATATTTTATTATTAGTGGCGGGTCCCACTGATAATATTTTATTTGTGCATAGTGTTTCCCAAACACTATAAATAGGGTCCTAAACTCTTAAGGAAATCTCATCCCAGAAACAACTCCTCTTATAGAAGAGTAAGAGAAAACACAGAGAGAGTTTGTGAGAGTTCTTGGAGTGTATCTGATCAAGAGAGGGTGTTCTCTTGGATCAATTCTTTTGGATATAAAAGAATTTGGCGTCGTCGTTGCACCGTGGAGTAGCTCCGAAGGAGTGAACCACGTATATCTATGAGTACTGTGTTTAATATTGTGTCTTTATTCTGTGTATTACGTCTCTGTTCGAGACGTTATTGTTGGTGTGTACCCTAACAACTGGTATCAGAGCCTGACTTAGAGTATATATATCTGCTTATCGTATGCTCTGTGGCTGCCACTAAAAGTGGATCCTCCACATCAGAAAATAAGTTAGATTAATATTTACTCTTTTAAGGCATTGGGCACTATTCACATGTACGGCACTATTCACGGATATGGTACTATTCACGAATACGGTACTATTCACGAATATGGTACTATTCACGGATACGGTACTATTCACGGATACGGTACTATTCACGGATACTGTACTATTCACGAATACGGGAAAGACGTAATCTTTCGTCATGGGATCTACAGTTGAAGACAACAGGCTTCGAATTGAGAAGTTCGGCGGCCAAAATTTTAGGTATTGGAGGATGCAAATAGAAGACTATTTGTACCAGAAGGATCTCTTCCTACCCCTCCAAGGAGAGGCGGGGAAACCTGAGAAGATGGACGACGATAAGTGGAAGGTGCTCGATCGTAAAGCACTTGCCACCATCAGGCTCAACCTTCACCAGCATGTGACTTACAACGTCTCGCATGCGACCACCACCAAGGAGTTGATGGAGGCCTTGGAGGCGCTGTATGAGAAGCCGTCTGCTTCAAATAAGGTGTACCTGATGAAGAAGCTATTCAACCTCAAGATGCAGCAAGGAGCTCGCGTGGCGGACTTCTTGAACGAATTTCAGGCTGTGGTGCAACAGCTTGCTGCAGTAGATCTAAAGTTCGACAACGAGATCCAAGCTCTTCTGCTACTTTCTTGTCTACCAGATTCATGGGAGAATATGGTAATGGCGGTGAGCAACGCTAATGGCAATGACAAGATGAAGCTCGACACAATGGTTGGAGCAATTCTGGATGAAGAATCTCGCCGCAAAGTCTCAGGAGCTGAGGCCTCTAGCAGTGGGAGTGCTCTGCATGTCGAGGCACGAGGGCGTGCACAGAAGAAGGGTAGGGGACGACGAGGCTAATCAAAATCCAGAGGGAAGTCTAAAGGGCCTAACCCGAATGGTTACGGTGAAGGGAAGTGCTTCAGATGCGGAAAGAAGGGCCACTTTGCACGGGACTGCAGAGTTACTGTTCAAGCATCAGCAGGGGATGATCGGGCTGACGGTGCAGCCAATCTCATGCACGAGACGGATTCGGATGCACTTCTCCTATCCCTAGAAGACAAAAGTGATGCGTGGGTCATCGACTTTGGCGCATCTTTCCATGCAACCTCACAACAAAAGTTGCTTTCATCGTTCGTGAAGAAGGACTTGGGGACAGTCTATCTTGGCGACGATCAACCTTGTAAGGTTTCCGGGAAGGGAAATTGTACCCTCAAGATGGAGGGCGGGACCACCTTGACGCTGAAAGACATTCGGCATGTACCGGATCTTAGGCGGAATCTTATATCAGTCGGGCAACTGACCGACTCCGGTTATAGAGTATCCTTCGAGCAGAGAAGCTGGAAGGTGTCCAAGGATGCCCTGGTGGTGGCACATAGCAAACGCGAGGGGTCTCTCTACATCGCCAACGGGAAGATCGACCACTTGCTTGCCGCAGGACAAGCATCATCATCATCATCCGTCGACTGCATGACTTGGCATCGACGACTTGGTCATATGAGCGAGAAGGGGTGTTTGTGGGAAATTTGATGTAAAAGAAATAATGAAAGAAAAATTAATTTGTATTCTCTCAAAATCAATTACAATTTGGTTTCCGATTACAAAAGAGAGGAGAATGAATTTGATTCTCCCCTTTATTTAAAACCGGGTTCTTCTTGGTGGCGATGGAGTGCCTCCCTCGAATGCTCGCGTCGAGTTTGCTCTCCGTTGACGATCCGCACGTCTTGATTCACTGGAACGTGGTCTTCTCCTCACGATTTGACGCTGTGGAGAACTTGCGTGGCAAGTTTGAAAATAACTCTTAACGAGTTAATAACTCAGAGGCTTGGACCGAAAAGAAGCTGAAACTAGAGCATTTACGAGTATTTGGTTGTGACGCCTATGTCATGACCAATCCTGCAGACCGGTCAAAGCTTGATCTAAAGTCAAAGAAGCTCACTTTCATCGGCTATGGAGGAGATGAGTATGGGTACCGTTTCTGGGATCACGATGCGCGCAAGGTGGTGCGTAGTCGTGACGTCGTGTTCCATGAGAATGCGGTGTACAAGACCAAAGAGGTGAGTGGGAGTCAACTATCTCCCCCTCTTTTCCCAGATATTGCTGACAGTGAGGACGGCGGTGAGATACCAATCAGCATAGAAGACGAAGACCAAGAGAATGTGCGGGATGTACAGCAGCAGGATCCAGCAGAGCTGCCGATCGCAATTCGCAAAGCTCCAAGAAATCCAAGGGTGCCAGAGAGGTATCTTTCCACCATGAATTACCTTCTCCTGATTGACAATGGTGAGCCAGAGAGCTATGAGGAGGTACAGCAGACCGACAAAGCTCGCGGCGAGTGGGAGTCTGCCATGGAGGAAGAAATGAAGTCCTTGATGAAGAATGGGACTTGGGAGCTTGTAAAGCTTCCACGAGGGCGAAAGGCTCTTCACAATCGGTGGATTTATCGGGTCAAGGATGAAGCCGATGGACGGAGACGCTACAAGGCGAGGCTTGTAGTGAAGGGCTATGAACAGAAAGCAGGGATTGATTATTCTGACGTTTTCGCTCCCGTCGTCAAGTTGACCACGATCCGAACTGTGCTGAGCATTGTAGCAGTTCGAGATCTCCACCTAGAACAGATGGATGTGAAGACGACATTCCTTCATGGAGATATGGAGGAAGAAATCTATATGCATCAACCAGTGGGCTTCGAGGAACGAGGCAGGGAGGGCTCGTGTGTCGCCTATGCAAGAGCTTGTATGGCCTGAAGCAAGCTCCGCGACAGTGGTACATGAAGTTCGAAAAATTTATGGAGGAGAACAGTTTTCTCAAATGTGACACAGACCACTGCTGCTTCATCAAGAGATATGACGAATCCTATGTAATACTCTTGATTTATGTTGATGACATGTTGATTGCAGGGCCCGACTTGGCCCGCATTGAGGAACTCGAGGGGCGTCTCTCCGAGTGCTTCGAGATGAAGGATCTAGGTCCAGCAAACCAGATTATGGGGATGAGGATCATCAGAGACAGATCAGCACGGAGGCTGAGGTTGTCTCAGAAGGTCTACATTGAGAAGATTCTTGAAAAGTTTGGCATGGAGAAAGCTAAACCGGTGGGCTTGCCGTTTGCAAGCCATTTCAAGCTATCAAAGACCCAAGCACCAGAGACTGCTGAAGAGCATGAGTTCATGGCCAACATACCATATGCATCTGCCATCGGGAGTTTAATGTATGTGATGGTGTGCACGAGGCCAGATATTGCACAAGGAGTGGGAGTTGTGAGACGCTTCATGAGCAATCCAGGGAAGCAACACTGGGGTGCGGTCAAGTGGCTTCTACGCTACTTGAGATGCTCGTCCGACCGTTGTCTTGAGTATGGCGAGATAGATTTGCAGCTAGAGGGCTTTTGTGATGCAGACTACGCAGGGGACATAGACTCGAGAAGGAGTACGAGCGGCTACATCTTCATCTTGGGTGGTGGAGCGATAAGTTGGAGATCCAAGTTACAAGATACTGTGGCTTTGTCAACAACAGGAGTTGCTATGGTTGAAGGCTTTTATTCTCGAGCTTAGAGTAAGCTTTGAGAAATACTTCATCCACTGCGACAGTCAGAGTGCCATTCACTTGTCAGAGAACGACGCATTCCATGCTCGGACCAAACATGTTGACGTGAAGCACCATGCCATACGGAGATGGCAAAGCAGGGACGAGTTTAAGCTTGTGAAGATTGATACGAGGTACAATCCAGCCGACATGCTGACCAAGCCGGTTCTGCTCGAGAAGGTGAGGCTGTGTGCAGCCTCATATGGCCTCCGTTAAGAATGTTGAGGGCCGTGCAAGATGCCAAAGATACATGACATCCGGATGAT